CCCCCTTTCAAAACCCAAGGGGAGTTAATGGAGGCAAGAAGCGACTCTAAAAACTCTTCCTTTTGGACGGTTGCTACATTCGTTCTTGAATGGTTTTTTATCACAAGGCGGTTTATAAGCTCACTACATCCTCTTAACGGGATGGCAATCAGAGCTGAGGTCAGCGCAAAAATGTTGCTTTGCTGGGACTCAGTTTAGTTTGGAGATCAATAATCTTATTTTACACAAGTATCTGTTTCATAGGCTGAAACCGCATGCTAAATCATAGATTAATGTACGTTATTTACGCAGTGAGTGTACCACAAATTGGAAGCCTTCTGCTTCAGCAACCGTATGTTTCAGGCCTAAAATTAATGGATGAATTTCTATAAAACTTCTTTCTTATTGACGGTCGAGAAAAAAAATTCTCTAGCAAATTTCATTTTGGTTTAAATCGGTTCAAAGTAATCCTACTTCAAATAATGTTCTACTCGAGCATCATCTATTAAACAAAAAAAGATTCACCGAACAAGATGTTAGTACGTCAATAGTGCTATGTTCATTCCCGTCAATTTTAACGGGTCATAATATGCTAGTAATGTCATGTTTTCCCACGTTAAATAAATTCCGGTGTTGTTAATACATCGTCAAACAACATGCGAACTCGTATTACAATTAGGGAGTAAAGTATGGGCTCAAATGAAAAAATAAAAGAAGATAAATGAAAATAAATGGCAAAGCCAAGTTGGAAATAACGTAGCCTATGAGAAATAGTCGGAAGATAAGGAAGAGATATGTGTCGTTTAATCCACGGGGATTTCTTCTCTCTTAAATAACGTCCACCTAAATAACTGAAGCTCAGAGATAACATAAGACACATTTAATTGTTTCGTAAATCGCGAAATATCTTTCTTTGGGATTGTAAAATAGCAGATAAGATGAAACGACACTATTACTAATATCTACTGTAGAAATCCCACCGGAGCCCAAATAACTGCATTCGTGTTCAAGACAGGATTTATGGCATCACAAAGGAACTATAATATTTATCTCCCTCCGACACAGCAGTCTATCGGGATAACTATAGTAAGCCGTGTCTTTAGATTTTCGCGGATGGACTTCAACATTCAATGCTCATTGTGCGTGGCCGACGTTTTGAAGAAATTTACCGCTCTCATCGGATAGACGTGTAATAACCCAAAACACGACAATCCAAGCTTATATCAACGTAAGTACTCACATATCACAAGAATTACAACGTAGTAAGAACTCCGGAGACTGGCTTCTCTTGAGGTAAGAATCTTACACACTCACTTCCATCTACGTCTAGTCACGTTATTGATCCAAAGTCTATTTTCGAGGACGCGGAATGCGATAGACAAAAAAGCGGACCTGAGAGATACGTGTATTGGATGATTGGAGGACAGATATAATAAGTGAAGCCTCTGCTGTAGATGTTTAGAGTTATTTCTAATGCATGGTGGGAGGTGAGAAGGTATTGGGAAACCAGTTAAAAGACAAAACTCCTTCCTCCGCCCTAATATCCTGATACGAAGGATTAGAATAATGATTGATGAAATCTCTGAAACTCAAACTCAAGCCAGAATGAAGTACGATTACTTTCATAATTGCAGAAAGTAATAGATGTAGGCAGGGCTATGAAGTCGGAGTCGAAAGCAATTTTAGGTGGAGCTATAATCTGCACAGTGGCCCGTGAGTACGGACGGCAGGCTAAACTCAACGAAGACAGTCTAAAGTATTAAAGTCAAAGGCAGAAACATTGGAACACTATGGAGAACAGTTCTCGAACAGAGTAGATTTATTTCAGAAAATGGCAGAAAAGTATAGAAATTTATCAGAGGAAAACCAGACATGAGTTCAAGTACAAGAGGATAAATCCTCAAAGTCAAGAACGTCCAGCGAGGAAGCTGTGAAACTGGAATCAGTAAGGCAGGATACATGAACAAAGCCAGGCAGGAGAGCAGAAATTTTGAGATGGCCAACCCTCGTCGCGCCGTCTAGGGCTCGGGGATTTTGAAAATGAAGCCAAAATTTATTTTACTTGAGCGTCGAGTACGAGATCAAAAAAAGAACTGACGCACTCAGAAAGGAAGCCAATTTACAAAACCAACATCGCACAGAATCAAAAGACAGGACTTCAAAACGTACGAAAATGAAGCTAATGAACGTTCAAGTAATGAAAAGTCCCACGAAACAAAGGCATCGGAAGTTGCTTTGAAGATTAAAGAAGCGTATTGGCTGCATGAAGAGTTTCTAGTCAGCGCCACTGACGAACGTCATATTGGCAGAGAGAGGTAAGGGTCCGAGCGATCGATGAAGCCTTCCTTGGTCGCTAAGGTATACGATCAGGAAACAGCGAATCTGAAGACAATTGCAGACGTCAAGGATGGCGAAAACACAAAGTTAAAATGTAAGGCCACAGCTACTGGAGAGGCGGTCCAAGGTGATAGAGAAGCGGTTGGAGGGAACGGTGTTCCTTATGAGAATCTTTTGAAATTAGAGCTAGCACAATATTTGACATAAGCGGATAAAAAGTCAGTTCATCAACATTGGCTAAATAAAATGCGGCAATAGAAAATAATATTAAATTAACACAAAAAACTCGAATACAGACAATCAGTTGGTACGAGTTTACATTTCAGTTCAAATGTCGGTTTATAAACGGTGACGGTCTGGATAGAGTATTGAAATACAATAACGCATGTAAATATGTATGAAGTATCATATATATATGCATCGAACATGAAAATATAGTCGCATGTGAACTAATTAACAACTCGCTAAAACAGAAATGTAGTAAATCCTGCTGCAATGTTATCACATACAAAAACAATTTCCCCACCCCCCCCCCGTTTAACGAAATACAATCTTTAAGCGACACTTGGTGCTGAACATTCAGCAGGGCACACAAGTTTTATGCTATCCTATAGCTCGCTAACAACAATAATAATAAGGTAAATAATAATTCCAGCATTTTCATATGTAGTCAGGTACCGAACATCATTAACATCTCAGATGACTTTTTACACAGTGTGTATCATTGTAACCTGTGTTTGATTCACACACCACATACCACAAGGATGGAAATGGTCGTGGCCTAATTTAAGGTATTATGCCTTTATTCGTCTGGAGGGACTGACGAAAACCACGAAAACCTTTGGTCAGAATAGCCGGTACACGGGCCAAGATTTGAACCCAAGACCGAGTGCTAACCACTCAGCCGGGACGTTACGTCGGTCCATAAATTTTTCGTATAATAAGACCTGTTTTAAATGTCTAACTTTCCAACATTTACTTAGAGCCTTCCCTTCATTTACGCGTCTAAAACTATGCATTAAAGACGAAATAAGAAAAAAACAAATCATTATTGTTTCCTGCTACTTTTAAACAGCATTATAACTTTTCTAATATCTTGTATGTAAATGTAATAATGCGTCATCTCTCTCTTCGTTTTTTGGAAGTGTTGCTGTATGGAGCGATAAGCTATTGTTTAGTAGTCCGTACGACGGGGTGTGGAGATTACGTGAGCATTAACACAGTAACTACTTGCCAGCGACTGTCGAGGAAAAGTTCTATGGCGCCTCACTCAGTTTTAAATAGGTAGAGAAATGGATAGACGGAGGAACAGAATTTTAAAGAAAGCGAGAGCGAATAAAGTTAATTTCTGTACACAAAATCAAGACATGCTCGTATTTCTGTAACGTTGAGTGTAGGTTGGAAGGAACACTCTTACATGGGCAAATACAACATAAAGTTTCTCGTGAAGTAACTTCTGTGGACTGAAGAAAGACCCAATTTATTCCACACTAATATTAACCGCGAAGTATAAGTTTAATTCATTGAAGAAATCACAGTAGCAAAATTCCTTAAAGTTGTGAGAAATGTCTTTGCGTCGCGTTACATTTTAGTGGCCATTATGTTTTAGATTAATTCTGATCGGATTGCTGTAGTGATGCCGTAGACTTGTATCGGGAGGTACCCAATTCAACTCTGGGCGTGAGTGACTTGTACTCAAAAGGAAGGACCAAAATTAAATTGAATTCCACGTCAAGTCATCTTTGACTATAATGATACATTTTATTTAATTATATAATTAATAATGTACAGAATGTTTTCGAAGTAAGCTATAATCCATTTACGCAACTTTTATCATGTTTATCCAAGTAAGACAAAAATAAATCTGTATAACTTCGGAAATATTTGAGTTGCGCTCAGAAAGTAAGCTCTGATGTAAGGCATTCGTTAAAACTGTCCGATGTAGATAAAAAATGATTTTTCGTAAAATTCTCCAGTAATCCACGACTACCTCTCTATTTAAATCCGTGCATATTCGATAACAGCGATTACGTTCCCACTTCAATCAACGCTGACATAACCTCAAATACGACCATGTGACTCACACAAAAGAGTTGACAACGTTACGGTACGGACATGTTTACAAACGTAACCTAGGCTAGGCTATTTTCCTTCCATTTCTAAAATCGCAACTTGTTTATATTTCGCAGACTCCTATATGACACAAAGTACATAATGCCCCGTTAGGATTTTGTTTTGCTAGAATAAAGATTAACCGAATCAATTCACATTCGGAGGGGAAAGGACGCCTCGGGCGACCGGCTTTACTGACACAGTCCTGCTATTACTCACGTGTCGGAATTAAAACAGGGTTTTGAACGTCCATCCAAAAAGCCACTTGTTGACCTCTGTGAAATACAGAAGCTTTCTCAATATGCCAATAACAAAGGGATAAAAACGATTACCCACATAGCAATGACATTTATCGCTTAATTTTACGAGCGTAGAATAAATTCAGTCAGCATAGGGACTATATAAGTGTCTGACGACCTGTGTTCGGTTCCCGGCAGGATCACAAATCTGTTGACGAAAAAAAATTCGTTAACTGTAAGTTCGAAAAACGAGATACTACCGCAAGAACCTTGATCAAATAGAGTAAGTTTTCCAATAGTGTAATTGCAGTTCAATGAATGGTGTAATCTTACCTTCCTGGGGTTTCAGGACTGTCATTTAACGACATCAGTTGGTTCCAGTGGCGTGTCACCTGTAACGAGACAATTGATATGTCAGCTGCTGATTCATCCAATATTACAAACGTGTCTGTAATACAATCAGACAGTGGACGCATCCACCTAGCTCCATCACACACAGAAGTGCGCAGTTTTGCACACGAAACCTTTCTCTACTTAAATAATCATTAATTCCTACTTACTTTTATTTTATTTAAGATCACTTTAGCCAGGCATGTTTCAGGAACGTTTGAGAGTCTGAGAAAAAACCAGAATGGAAAGGTGATGCACAAATAGTGCACTCCTCATGGTGACAAATTTCTGACATTTAATTAAATTTCATATCGAACGTTCGAATATGACCACGGATGAAGCTGTCCGATTTCAACAAAATTAATTCAGCCAAGACTAGAACAGGATACGTCAATGGCTGTCTTCTGGGCTGTTGCGACGTGTAGTCTGGTGGAAGTTTACGACATTTCAGAGGTTCCTCCAGCATCAGGACGATAATGAAGGCACTAAGGACTTCTCAGCCGTCGGTCAATTTCTACCAGACTACACCACGAAACAACCCAGAAGACAGCCACCCTCATACTCGCCGCTGTGAGAACCTGACATCTCATTTAGAACCGGATATCTCTTGAACACAGGTTACCGCTGAACTAACCTCTTCGATTTGATGAATTCGACCGATGATTCGGGGTTTAACTGACCGATATATAAGACCGATCTGCTGCCACATTAAAAACCCAGAGCAGATCTACACACATTACAGCAGGACCTTCAGGAAAAAAAAATCAGCACTAATAACATCTCATTCTTCGAAAAACCTAATTGCTGGATGCTAACGATGACTGCTTCGATATTTATTTAAATAACAAAATCGATACGAAATAATAAACTACTCAGACGATAATTCATTCATGTCAGTCGTAATTTACCAGAATTCGAAGCGGTTTCTTGTCTCAACAGAAGCCGCTCATTAGTGAAACATTCTGCAACAGAACGCCAAGCCGATGACATGACTCGCCCATTCAGTATCACTGTGAAATGCACAGCAATTCAACTGCGACTCTTCTTATCAAAGTCAATTATTCTGCTCGTCTTTGTGTCAGACGTTCGTTAAATGAGGCGCTACCACTATCATCCTTGTGAGATTCTGCTTATCGTACAGACATCGGAGAACACAGAACGGAGCTCCATAAGCTCGGTTCCTGATAGCGTCAAATATAATTACAACAGCTACTTCGTATTCTATTTTAACTTGTCTCTGTTTATATTATGTATTCATTTGTGTTTGACTGTCATAGGCTCTTTGTCGTTGACAAACACTACAATAAAATAATTGAATTTTGAACTACATTATTTTTATACCATTCTACTGGGTATCCTGATATATATCAGGGTAAAACCCTATCTCTGTAATTCACTACACATTATAAACTAATAAAGATCTAAGTTAATTAATATCATCCTCAAGATATGTTGTTTCCGTTGTTAGTGGCCCTTATTTTAGCCCTTTATTAGTCTTATTAAAGTTTGTCCCTTGTCATCATGTCAGGACGCGCCCTCAACTTGCGGATGCAGACGTAGAGGGTACCTGAGGACAAATTGAATAATCAGTCGCGGACAACGGGTAGTCGTTCAGTCTGGGAGTTCGGCGGGAGCTATCGATCCCTCATCGTAAAGATGTAAAAATCCTTTCTTAGATTTCTTCGTCTCCATTCACCTCTAGTCCCGTTACAACAGGCCTTAAAAAGCAGAATTATTCGATCTTCGCAAACGTTCGGTTGCCTTGCCAACAATTTAATACATAAATCGCCCACTATGAGGCTTAATGACGGTAAATATTATAAGATAGACCAAAGGAAACTGATATTCGTTAAGTGAGTCGTAATACATAAGAAATGTAGTTATTTCCGCCTGCACTTTGCTACAGTCGCAACTCGATGATGCTAAAGACCTCCTGCGTCTCAAACAGTGAAATAAAATACAGAAAAGCAAAATCATTTCTTACTTATCTTTTCCGCCAAGTCTCCTTCCCCTTCTTGTCTCTTTCTGTTTCTTTCCTTCTTGTTTCCCTTCGGCTTCGTACCGTGTTTATTTCCCTTCCCCATTTCAACCCCGCCATCTTACCATCTTTCTTCCCAATTCTTCTTTTCCTTTTATTATGTATTATCTTCCTTCCCTCAGTATGCACACACTAAATTCATCCCTTACCTACGGGACCACAGTCGACCGAACGTTCATGTTTGCACTGTCAAGTGAATAGCGTTATGCAAAGTTTTGGTATGGCCGTGTCGACGAACTGCGGGTCTCCTTCCGGTCGAATAGTTTTACGAAGAGGTGGGTAGAGAAGTGTGGAACACAGGGATGAGGCATGGATTGAATATTGATCGAAACAGATCAGAATGCCGTGAAGTGTGGGAGTCGGTTGCCGGAACTACCTCCCTTCCCCTCCCCCTCACACCCCGGTTCGCCGCAACAAACACGACTTATTCAAATCCACTTACGCTCGTCACAGTCAGGACTTTGCTCCAACCAGTTACGGAATCATTCGCAACGGCTTAAGATACACACCGACCGCTCTAGGTTCTGGAAACACGTAATTCCATGGTCACATACGACTCCTCTGCAATGTTACCAACTTAAACACGTACGTCCTTAAAAAGATCCTGCGGCCGAGATTAGTATTCCTGCTTCGCATTAGAGGGGGTCTCAGATTCACTTCTGCCACCCGGAGACCGTCTATCGTGAATGAGGTCCTTTGTGATCTTCCTCAGTTTCTCCAGGAAAATGTACGTACCATAAATTAGGCAACGAACGCGTCCTTCCACATCCTTTCATTTTCATTAGTCATCCTATCATTTGGAGCTTCGTGGTCCGAGATGAACCATAAGTAAACAGACGATTCAATATCATCACCACATTCATGCTACAAACGACGTATTTCGTTTCGAAACACCAACCTTGTTTGCTCAACGAAAATAATACATTTCACTTCAGGCAAAAATGGAATAAAAACACACATGCAATATTAAATATTTCGTCAAGAACACGCGCCCCTGTTTATCCACTAAAACCATCCCCTACGTTTCAACCCTGTTCGTTCCCTTTCGCTGCACGTTGTCCGACCCCTGATGCTGTAATCTCGTCTTCTCCCCAAGTGATGGAGGGGATGGGATTGGATGGTTTGCATTCATTACGAGCCAATCACGATTCCAGACCACGGCGATGTCCATACGACAGGTTGGGGTTGAAGTTTCAAAAACCCTGTTACAGTGTGACTACGAACACATGGTCACATACAAGAACTTCGCTATTTATGCGATCAGAATGTAGAAAGCAAAATTATGCTAAAGCATGAAATCTTTGGTAATTTTAAATTTCGTATTTTGGTAGTATGTAATATGTATAATTTTATAATTTTCCTTTTGAATGTTTTACCAGCCTGTGATTAACTAGATGGTATATTTTAGAACATTAAACTTCACTGTGTCGTGATAACAGTGGATTGTGTAAGGATCCGTTTACTCACCTCGCCGGACTATACTGCAGTTTATTTGTTAAATTCTTCCCACCTACATATTTTCATATTTATTCACATTTTTTAAAAACAGTACACCCCCCTTACAACAAAGATCTTTAACCTTGATATTTCACGTGTTCATTTATATAATTTCGGTCATCCCTAAAATTCTATTAATCTCGAATTAAAACATGCAAAAGTAATGGAGAATTACAGACAACAAAACAGTTTACAAGAACACACGCAAGCATGAGTTCACAAACATGCTCCCATATAAACACTTTACAGTAATTACGCGATAATGGTGAGTCATAAAACATTGAAACGCAGAAGTGTAAACACTTTCATACACATCGCCGTGAGAACCTCAAATTCTGCTTCTTACAAACAGACTCAAAACGCTTTTCCTACCGACAGGCGGCTCAGGAAACGTGACAAATACTGACAGATGATTTAGTAATTGGACTTCACAGTCAAGTGAACACCAGTTCAGACGCGAACGCCACGATGAATCCATAACGCAACTTGTAGTAAACCTGGTTCTCAGAAGACCTAATCCTACTGAAATTGCATTAAGAGGATTATGCTGAAAGGTGTTAAGTCCGGGATGATTGAATAGCAAGGACTGGGTGTTAGAAGACGAAGCATCTCTAAGCCTCGGACGCCTCGACCACACCTTTTATTCTGTAGGTTTTATATCACGCATAAAAATGTTCTACAGAAACGTTCTTCACGATAATAACTGGCCTGAATATTTTGATTGACTTACACTAATAATAATTCGGAGTTACAGGAACTAACTGATTGAATTGACACTAATAATAAAAGAAAATTTTCACAATTTATTTTGGGAAACTGGATGATAATATTGAAATGGCTCTCTTTAGAGTTGTAGCGCCGTGCAAGGAGTACTGATGATGGAGGTAGCAAGAACCTCTAAAACATCAGTTAACATCTACCAGAATACACGGCGCTACAGCTCAGAAGACAGCCATCTTCATATTTGCCGCCTTTATAACATCAAATCCAATATTAAAATTGATATTAAAGGTATACATTTTATGAGACGTGGATTGTATCCTGTAGAGGGGTTTGGTGTAAGAGAAATTTGACATTGGAGTATTAGTAAGGGAGATTTCATTTAATTATATACTCGTTATATTCACAAGTTACATATTTCAATCTACTTTCCTCATTTGTAGAGCTGACCACATCGGCTAAGTTCACTTGCAAGTTGTAACGTTCGTATGTGCGTATGAGCGTACGTGACGCCCAACGTACCACAGCCACGACCGCCCAAAACGTCAATGAAATTTCGATCTAAATGCAACTGTCGACACGTAGATGACATAAGGACAAACAATTCCAAATCGAAACTCGGACATGCGCACTCGGTCAAAATTAATATCTTACTAGAAGCCTACGCAAGTTAATAAGGTTGTGAGGGGAAGAGGGAAGGAGGCTTCATTAAACTCCACCGCAAAGTGAGAGCAGAGCAGATGGGAC